TTTTTACTCAATCAGTCAATAATGATCAGAATATTCTTATAATTCTTGCTCTCAGAGAGATTAACAGTAAAATCAATCACTACATCTTATCAGATTCTATCAGAGATATTGAGTGATTTTAGTAGATCTTTTCTATAGTTCTTTTATTAGATAATGAAAGAACAATAGTTATGGTCTCAGACAAAGTGTCTGATACTGTTTAATATCTCAGATCAGTAGAACTCTCAAGAGATTATTCAATACAGTTGTTCACAATCTGAATAATCAGTTATATACAAATCGTGTATCTCTTGCATTATCTGAGTGTATAAGAGTTCAGAGTGAGAGACTCAGCATTGTTCACAGAATCACAGACTATTATTATCATTGATTGAATATTCTGAGATGTCAGTTCTTATATATAGTTCTGAGAAGAATCAGAATGCTTCTTGATATACTGCTTCAATAAGTGCTTAGAGAAGTTTGTCAGTTTGAGCTGTTATATATCACAGTTTATCTAGTGTAGATTCAGAAGAAGTTGAGATATTAATATCAGTGTCAGTGACAGTTCAGAGAGGATATGTTCTAATCAGAGATGTGTATATAATTTCATGAGTTGTCTTATTATAATCAACTAGTATTTTCAGATTTAAGAGCTGATACTCTCAGTTGATTCAGCAAGTGTCTGTTATATCAGATAATATATCTCACTCTTATCATAAGAGAGTATTTGCTATCAAGTTCTGACTCTTAGAATAGTAGTGTATTATCAAATAAAAACAGCTCAAGAACGCAGATCATCACATCTATCATTCAGTAAGCTTGCAGATAATTGTAAAATACTTGAGATTCTTATAATCTGTGATTATCTCAAATTTGAAGACATTTCAGAGTTCAGAGTCTCATTCTTCTAGACAGTGTACTATTGTAAGAAGTTTCTTATCATAGATCTCATAGTTGCATTCAGCAGAACTCAGTTTCTTAGATATGAAGATACATGATCATAGAATATCTTTATCATTATATTACAATATAGCTTCTTGTGTAACATAGTCAGAGAAGTCAGCTTTAATAACTGTTTTATAATCAGAATTAAATATCATCAGTAAAGAAGTATTGATGAATATCTTCTTCATCTGTATAAATACAGCTTCAGCATTCACTGATCACTAAAATACTGAGTTCTTCTTGATAAGTTCTGTAAGTGATCTCATAATATCTGAGAAGTTTCATATAAATTACTGATAGAAGTTAGCAAATTCGATGAAGCTTTATACACTCTTCACAGTATATAAAGCTTCTCATTCAAGAATGACACAGATCTTCTCAGAATTCATTCAAATTCTCTTACCAGCTTTTATAATAAAATCTAGATATTTTACACTCTTGAGTCTTGACTTTAAAATCACACTTGTCAATATCTATTGATAGTTCTTCTTCTTATAATTATTGTAGTACTCTTTATACATGCTCTTGATATTCTTTTCTGAATCTATCAGTAAAGATGAGAATGTCATTGAGATAAACAGATACAAACTCATCAAGGAAATCTCAAAGTGCTCAGTTGATATACTTCTGAAATGTACTGAGAGTGTTAGTCAGTTCAAAGAGTGTGACTACTCATTCAAAGAGATTATAACATGTTCAGAATACTATAAGTTATTCATCTTCTTTAGTGATACAAATCTTGTGAAACACAGTAATGATATCTCACTTTGTAAATCATTGAGCTTGTCTGATGTAAGCTAGAGTTTCATTGATAAGAGATAAAGAATAGCAGTTCTTCTTTATTAATCTATTCAGTCCTTAATAGTTCACACAGAATCAGAGTTCTTCACCTGATTTCTTTGCAAAGAGAATAGAACCTGCAGCAGAGAAGTTACTAACACATATGAATTCTTTATTCAACAGATCATTGAGAGTCTTTCAAAGAAGAAGAAGTTCATTTCAGAACATATTATAAAGAGATTCTCATGATAATTTAAAGTCTTTATCATTCTTCTTTTCTAACTTGATACTGTGATCTACTTCTAGGCCTTATAAGAGAGGTAGATTTGTAATATTATTATTATCTTATCAGAAGACATCTAGGTATTCATAATATTATTGAGAAAGTTTTATATGAGAATCTGTTATTGTAACACAGAATAACTGTTCTAGAACTTTTTTAATATCAGTTAGACTGGTGAAATAGATTGCTATATAGTTTTACTATCAGTGACTTTGTCAGTAACTTCTCTTTCAGAGTATCTCATAAGTGTTGATGAAGATCTGTATCAGATTCATAGTCTTATAAACATCATCTTCATGAATTCTATCATTGTTAGAGAATATTAAGCTTCTGTTTTAAGTGTTTAACAAGATGTCTTATTCAGATAGTCAGATAAGTTTTAGCATAAGATTATAGTCAAGATTATTAACTTTATATACATAAGTATTTTCACATTGATGTTCTTCAACATCTATGTTCAGTTTTATCATATAACAGATGCAAACATCTTTTGAACTATTAAATTCTGCAAGAAGTTGAGGTTTTGATAAGAGAATACACTGAAGATTTAATTATTACATAGTAACATAGACCGCTATCTACTATGGCTTTCATATTATACATGTTATTCATCATAGTAGATACAAGAATCATATTCATTGTTATTTTCTCTTTAAATTATTATCATTCAACCTCTTCAAGCTTCTGTTTACAACTTTGAACAGAAGCTAATCTTTTCTCTGTTTTATCAGAGTGTTCTTATAGTTATCTTTCAAATCTTTCTTCGATGTAATATGATTGACATGAATCACCAGCATTGATCTTTCTTTTGAATGAGAAGACATATAGGCTGATCAACAGTTGAAAGTAATATATTCTGATTAGTTATAATTAATACACACTTCTTGTTAATATTGATCAGCAACTTCTTCAGAAGTGATCTCAGAAACTCAGAAGCCTGTTTAAACAGTGAAGACTCTTGCTTATACATAGACATTCAAGTCTACTCAGTTCATAACATCTGCATTATTGTTATTATTCTTCAACATAGGTGAATGAGTAACTGAGATGTAATATCTTCTGCTGCTATTCTGTATACTCTTGAGCTTGATAAGACAGTCATTCAATATTCAGAGTTTTATACAGAAGTCTTTATAAGTCAGATCTTTGTCTATGCTTATAAGAGTCTGTAAGAGTTTGAAAGTTAGTATCTTCTTGAGTATACTAATCTTTATTTAATTCTCTCAAGATTAATCATCCGCTTCTGAAATCTTGATGTTAAAGTCAGAGATGAATGTTATGAGAGAAATGTTTCTCTGTCAGACACTCTGTAATTAATCTAATACTTTCTATTACATAGCAGTATCTCAGAACAGAATATCAAGATATTTGATAATATTATCAGATATTCACAACACTGATTTACATGCTTTTATTTATGAATAAAACTTCTATCTCATGCAATTCTTCAATCATTCATTGATATATTAATCTTGATTAGTTAATAAACTGATGACATCTTCATCTATACTTAGTTTTATAAGCATTTTCAATCTTCATGATAAATAGAGAGTGAGATCAGAAGTATTAAAATATATAAGAATATTTAAGCATTTCTTCAGTATTTATATTGTATTTATATTTGATTCTATCAGTGTTAAAATTGTCTGTACAGAGGTTTCTTGTTAAGACAATTATTGAATTTCTTTATATTAATATTGTTAAGTTGCATGCATATTAACTATCTATTATTATTATAATTTCAACATTACTTGAAGCTATTATAATACTGTGTCTATACTTGCATTTGAGAGTTCTCTTATATTATCATTAGACATAGTTATATTATTTATTAAATGTATAATATCTGCATTTGAGAGTTCTTTAAAATTGAAAGTGTAATTGTATGAATATTTTATATGTCTAAGATGTCAGAACTCTTAGATCTTTCACTAACATTCTCTTATTCTCTTTATAAGATCTTGTTACAGAGTCAGAGTGACTGATGAGTAAGCTTCTATTTAGAGACTCAGTGTCTGCTTAACTGATTAAGACTCAGTGTTCACTTAACTGATTAATTGTTTCTTTATTTCTTACATGTTGTTACATGTTCAGATATCTTCTTAATAAGTAATCATTTCTAATAAGAAAATGATAAATGTTTTTCAAGTGTAAGAGGTCTACACTGAATAGATTAATATAATATATAGATCTTATAATACAAAAGTGAAAAATCTTAGAGAAGAAAAGAGAGAGAAAGTGCAGAAATCAGTAATCAGAGTGAATATTTATACACATACATGATAAAGCTTCAGAGTGAAAGAATAGAGACTCTATGTACACAGTGAAGCTTCAGAGTAAAAGAATAGAAATTTCATAAGTTTTTCAGCTGAGAATCAGTAACTGAGAATCAGAGCTTTTAGTGAACTGAGAATTGAAGCTTTCAGTGAAATCTATAAAGTGTAATGAAATAGTCTATATAATTGATCAGACGCAGCCCGTCATAATATATATTTTTATATATAAGTTTTAAAATACTTAGAGAGATCATGAGTTATAATTATATTTTACTTTAAAAGTATATATTAAATAGATAATTACATCAGTTAAAAAGATAAGAATAAACTTAATCTATCTATTTAAGCAATTAGCAATTGATTGAAAACTAGTTAATAATTAATTCAGTGTAAATTATATCAATACTTTATTATTAAATTCAAAAATAATCTCAGTATTAAAAAAAAAAAAAAAAATTGTAATTCTTAATAAAATAAGTAAAGTTTTCTCTATATATGAAAATTATAATGAGAGAAGAATTGTTCTACAATTAATTAAGAATTGATTATAGAATTGATAGTAAATAATTAAGAAAGAAAGAGTGATTTCAAATTATAAGAAAAGATGTATTATGCAAGGTCAGATAGTGGCATGGGCCTCATTTATGAGATCAGCTTACATAACAAGGTCAAGTGGCGCACTTAGCGAGGTCAAGTTTTCTGCTTCTTGGATCGGCCCTTCTACCAGCAGTGTCACTGAGCTCTTTTGCCCCAGTAGCCTACACAATCTTACATTTATTACCATTCCGTCGCGATCGATTAGGATTAATCTCCACCCAGTTCAATGCTCAGCGGCTTTATCTGTTCTCACATTCACGTACTGCATCAAGCCGGTCCCAGCGTACTATCTTCTTCCACAGATACCATACATCATAACTTACTAACAATTCTGCATTTTGTTCTCGTGTTTGCTTCCCATTCGTCATATATGGCTGAGCTTTCGGACCATGATTGTGATATCATCGCAAATCTTCCTCTAAGCAACTCACTATACCGATTACAAGATCTACTTCAAGAAGCAGAACAAAAATATAATGACACCTCTGACCCTCGGGATGAAATTTGCCAACAGGCAATATCAAAACTCCTTACCACCTTGATGGGGGAGAGAGCTGCGTTCAAACTTGGCTCACGAACCGGCGATGAAAACCTTGCTTCCGATCTCGCCAGTTTATTCAGGCGCCTCCAACAAGGCCACCTCACCTATGACCACTGCCGAGCGTTGGTGCGGCTCGTCATTCAAAAAGACCTGAACATCGATATCTGGAAGGCCGTCCTCAACCTCATCACTACCAGCTCGCGAGCGACCCTTCCGGCAAGCATCCCCCCCTCCTTTGACCGGCACGCCGGTCAAATCCACCTCATCATCACAGAAAGGTTCTGAGCAGACATGTGAGTTGGTGAATCCAAGAATCTTTGAGGAGATATGTGGCTGCACATTTCGAGATGTCGAGGGCTTCTTTGACAAATACTTTGAGAAGAAAGATTGGAGTGACAAAGTAGATATCATTTGTCAACGCGTGCTGGACCCAGACAGTGATGGTAATTGGGCCCAGTTTCCTGATCCTCCTACACAGGATGCTGTCCTCGCCTGGTGGTTTCATCTTCAAGCAGACCTTCTCTCGGAATCACGCAGCATCTACTACACTACAGCAACAAAGCGGATCTTACTGGTTCAAAGGCGA